ATACATATATAAACATCTACAGGTTATGTTTGAGGGATTCTGCTTTTATTTTATTTGAACAGATCAGTGTGAATTCTAGTGTTTCAAACCAAAAGCTCCACAAAATAAAAGAAAACTTTTTTGTCCTCAAATATTGAGTGTGAAGAAAACATTACTTCCTCAAGTGGGTGTTCTTGTAGAAATATTTCATGTTCAATAGAGAAAAAAAACATCAAGGCTGCATTGATGGGTTAGTTTCTGAAATATCGTAAGTATTTCTACTTTTTTATGGGTAAACCTGGAGTTTGGAAATCCACAAAATGCTAATGCGATGCCCTTTCCAGCTGGGTTTTGAGGCAAAAGAAGTCTGGTTAAGGATGTTAAAATATATATTTCATGAGTAATGGGCTTTATTATCAGGTGGGTATGCTGCCCTGCCGGATAGTTAATCAAGATCTGTGGCACATACTTATCGTCTTGTAACAGCTGCAAGAAAAAATGCTGCTTTTCTGCTGCATTTGTCTTTTTTTTTTTTTTAGCTCTTTTGACGTTAACTTTAGTTAGAGACGGATTAAAAAGAAACATCTACTGTAAACAAAGATTAAAACAAAACAGCTTCATCACCTCAGACTTGGCAGCACAAAACAAACTGAATGAGTCTCTTTATCTGTTTTCTCACCCGGAGGTTAGGACTGATTACTGTCCTGCGCTGCTGCTCACTCACTCAATGTGTGCGTTTGTGTTCACTGCCAAATCTGAGCTGCTGATGTCATCCGATTCAGTCGCGTCTGTCTGTTCAGAACGTTAGAAAAGCCCGAAAACACGAGTATTTTCAGCTCGTCTTCCTGTCTGAGGATAAATTTGTTTCTCTGACGTCTCTGTTGCTGCTTTGTTTTTTTCAGGAACATGGAGGAGCATCAAAAATATTTATTAGTAAAAAAAAATTATTTTACATTTTATTTTTAGAATTTGTTTAAGAAGTGATGTGCATTAACAGATTAAAAGGAAAACATTCTGATTACTTATACTCCCTATTGCATTTTATGTGTATTTTAAATTGTCAGGCTCTCTGTTTTTCTTGTAAATTACAACTTTAAGCTTAATTACACAATAATCATCATTAAGGAAAAAAACAAAAATTTTGTTTTATGGATATTTACATTGGCTTTTCGTTTACTTGATGACTGCAATTTGTTTTTCTTTCTGCATCAATGTGTTACACAGCAGACACAAACTGAAGGAATCCAAAAGAAACTTTTTAATTGCATCTTGGAAAAAAAAGATTTCAAAACACTGACTCTTTTAGTTTTGTCTATCTTTACATGCAACTGAGGCTTTGTTGAACTCAACAAAACYAAAGTTTTGAACTTCTTTTTGAACAAGACCAGGACGGTGATTTCTACATTCAAACTGATTAAAAGAGAATTTGTGCACACACACACACATAAATTATAACAATATATCTTCCACTAAAACTGTTGTGTTTTTGCTGAGTTTAAAGCAAAAATGACATCCTGTTCTGTCTCTAAGGCCTTGTTAACATGTTAAAGAGCGCCCCCTAGTGATTCGACTTTAAATCTAACAGAAATGAAACACTGCTCTGCAACACTAAAACTGCAACCATTGCAAAAAAATTATAATAAAAGCTACAAAAAGCACAACAAGGACAAAGACCAATGTGTTGCAGCCTGTTGCATCATAAAGGAAACAAAAGGGTTTTAAAACGTCGAAAAACAAACATGCTTTCACAAGCTGCTCTATCCTCAAACTCACATCACATTTATATAAATCCTGGTTACATTAACTGTAAGAGCATTGCTTTGAAAGAAGTGTGAGGTGGAAAAATATGATGAATGAACTGTGATGTTCATTCACCTTGAATGAATGAATTGAATCAGGTCTTGTTATAATAACAATTTTAACATTTAGATAAAATATGAAGAAATTCTGAATCCCTCAAAATATTCTTGTTTTATTTACTACCCATTTGATTTAATTTGAAGATATTTATGCAGCTTGAGGACAAATTAACAAAAGTTCTTGTCAGAGATGCAGCAAGTGTACAAGGAAAACATAAAGGTAACCAAACCACAGGGAGCCACACCAAACAACCCTTTCAGTGTTTTACAGTTTTTTTTAATTGGAGGTCTCTGACTGCAAGGTGAGATGATGCTGTCTCCAGTGTGATCTCTGTACTGTCCAGTAAGACACGGACAATTGGAGAATCTGTGGGGCATGCTTGTTTTGACTTTTTCTCTGCTAATCCACATATTGATTGATGAAAAAACAGTAAAAATGTAATTTTCCCAGGTGATTGTAACTCTGCTGACTGTAGCGATGCTCATATTAAACATGTCAGCAATGAGCTGCTCCTTCATGCCAACTGCAAGCCTGAATGAGTACATTAAAAACTCACCAGTGGCATGTTTCATGTGGGACTGGGACTAGGATAGGCTTCTTCGTCAATCCTTTGTGCTTTGGTCCAGTGCACCAGCCAGGATGCAGAAGGTTCAACAGACTCCCAAAAGATCCAGAGCATGCTGTCAGCTGGGAAGATGCTCTGTGTTGAAGGATCAGTGGATCTGTGTTCGACTACTCCACCTAGGCTGCAGTGTGAACCTGCTGTTTCAGCAATATTTAATTTAAAAACTGTACTTTTGAGGTGAAACAAATGTTCATAATTAATTTTTAGAAATTACAAATTAAGAATGCAGTGTTTCCCCTACCGTTATACAAGGGGGGTGCCCCTCCAAGAATTTCACGGCGTTGTCATTTTTATTTAAATAACGCCAGATCAAGTCGAGAGCTATTTTTTGCATCCCTCCATATCCACCTCTTGCCAAACTTGGGGAGAAAAAGACAGCGCAGAGCGAGGCTGAGCGCTGTCTGTGGTCCTCACAAAGATAGAAAGATGTGTGTGCGCGCGATGAAAACTCTGCCTTTTTTTTTAACCATGTAGCACCGATGTGACAGCTTTGCAAGCTACTTTTTCTTTCAAAAACTTGCAGCTAATGTGCCTGCTTTGGTTGGAGGCAAGTTATTTTTTAACTTGTTTATTGTTTAGCATATATATATA